ACAGAAGCAGAAGGACTGCTACTACTTGGGATTATCACACAACCATCAAATTGTTTAAGTTGGAAAAGTCCAAGATCATAATGTCTAATCATTAAGCCAACATTGGCAAGTCCACCACTAATCCAGGTCTGTAAGTGCCACATCTACGCATCTTTTAAATACCTCCAGGAATGATGACTCAACCACTTCCCTGGTCAGCCTGTTTTAGTGCCTGACCACCCTTCCCTGAATAAATTTTCCTAGTATCCAATCTAAACGTCTTCTGACCATTTCCTTTTGTCCCATTGCTTGTTACTTGAGAGACCATACCCCACCTGGCTCCACCCACTGCTACAACTTTCAGGAAGTTGTACAGTGATAAGATCTCCCCTGAGAGAGACCTTTTCTCCAGGCTAAGCACCCCCAGCTCCCTCACCTCACTTGCACTCCAGACCCTTCCCCAGCTCCATGCCCTTCTCTCAGAGTCCTTCTAGTGAGTAGCCCAGAATGGAACACAGGATAGAAGGTGTGCCCTCACCAGTGCTGAGTACAGAGGCATGATCCCTGTCCTGATCCTGCTGGCCACACTATTGCTGATGCATAGGATGCCATTGGCCTTCTTGGAATAGTGCCTCTTCCTTTTTTTCATACTAAGGAGAATGAGGGCAGCTTGCTCTGAGCATGCAAGTTCAGCTGATGGTTTGTACCAGGTCACTTAGTGCTGTTTAGGTTGTATTTGGTTAATATTATTTAACCTACTCCTGAAAATTATCTTGAAATGGGAGATTTAAACAGAGAAAAACATTTAACTATGGCTCTTGGTGGATCCTTGGAATATTTGATAAACTGCCTAGTTTTCTTTTCAACTCTTTAGACATGATCTTTCAGCTGCAGCAGTCATTTTGGAAAGGGATCTGAGGATAAAGCCCCAGGATCTGCCATGGTAACAACATCACTTTTTATCTGTTTCAAAGGATGGATTTGTCAGCGAGAGATGACACTGTTGTGATTAAGCTGGTAAGCTTTGGCTTTTGACCTTGGAGTCTTTTTCAGTTCTGCTGGAGGCTTTGTTTGTAAAGAGCAAGATCAAGATCAAGAACATCAACTTTTTGTGCTTTGGTCCTCTATTCATACCTGAGATACCCTTTAACTACTGGTTCTCATCTATCCAAATACTGTCTAGTTCTTGTGCCTCAGTGTGTTTCATAGGGGTCTTTCCTCTTGGCAGGACCTTTTAAACATCCCTCAACAGAGCAACAATAAAACAGAAGCAAACCACGAACAGCCTGAAAAGGGAGGTTACAAAGCTGAAATACACATTCTACCAAGGGCAGGGCACAAAAATATATAATATATCATAAGAGCTTTTCTATTTCTATTTCTGTTTTCTGACTACTTCTGTCAGTCTGACATCCCTGTGGTAATTGCTTACTCCTAAGAACCACATGGTTGATAAAAAAAATAAAACAGTTAGCAAGATTGCCTGCATTTGTCTTTTGGAAGGGAGTTGCTGAAGAGCTCCACATCTGCGTACACAGTTCAGATTAGGCATAGATCTGGCTACGTTAGGAAAAAGATAAAATAGGTAAAATTCTTTACCTCAGAATTTCCCTTTCTCTCTGAGATTTCATGAACAAAACTTGTGGCAGTGTCTGTTCCCGGTAACTTTTTTCAGCCTTAAACCAGTCAGCTAGGGATGGCAGCACAGTGATGGAAACACAGGGGACATGTAGGGGCTCAGAGAAACCATGTGAGGACACTGGCTGTCACAAAGCACCCTGCTCCCATAGATTATGCTGCTGTTTGAACCTGGGCTGCCTAGTTTCAAAGTAAGGTGGCTGCTTTTGTAAGACTTTAATTTCATCCTTCATTTTTCATCAGTAGAATGTCTCACTGATGGCTGCAAGGAGCTTTCTTGGCTTTGCTGGTGACCTCTGTATGTAAATAAAGTAGATGAAGACTTCAAACCACAACAAAAATTAAACAAAATATTTCTGCTAACAAGAGATATTTTGAAGGCAAATTTTGTGTCAATCCAGAATTATGCATTGAAGTAAAAATTGCATTATATGAAAGAGCTCATTTTACAGGTTTGGCAGAATAGGCTGACTGAACTCAGACTCATCTGGCACCTTCCTAAATGCATCCATTGTGAAAGAAATGACTTTTAAGTGGAGCATTAATACTCCAAATTATTCCTCTCTTTTAAATTTCTTTAAGAAAGATGGTTGTAGGACTACTGAAAATTATATTTTCTGTCTTTTTTTTTTTTCTTAAAACCTGCAGCCAAAATAATTCTTCAAGTATGTATTGCAGTGTCTTTAAAAGTCAGGCATCAGATTGAATCATATAATAATTTAAGTTAGAAGAGTCCTTAAATTCATCTGCCATGGGCAGGGACATCTTCCACTAGAGTAGGTTGCTCAACCCCAATCCAATGTGGTTCAAGACGCATGCAAAGAGCTAATTCTGACTTTAAGTCAGACTTTATTCCAAATAGTTGTGAAAGTCTTCATGTGAGGAAGTACAGTGGGACACCATGCTGCATCAATCCCTGGACAGAGCACTAAGTGAGTAAGTCTTGCATGTACTGGTCTGTCCTGGACTGCTGCTTGTTTGGGTTTTTATATCTCTCTAAAAACCTTTTCTACTTGGATGATTACCTGATTAACCAAATGTATCATTTTCCCCTCTCAGTTTGGAGGAGTAAGATGTATTTCCCTTTGAAAGATAAATTCTGGGCAAACTGCTGCTTTAGATCCAGCAGAGAAGATAATCTCACGTGTAGTAATTAGCTCTTCAAGTGAATTTCACAGTTAGTTCCATTAGGAAACTATTTTTACTGTTCACTTCTCTTAACCTGCTTACATGACATATTTGTAAAGCTACAGGTTTAGATTAGCGGATTTGTCTTAGTTTATGGCTGTGCTGCTTTTAATTATATTAATGGTAATGAAATCTTACATTTCTTAGTTTTCATATACAACAACAATTTTCTTGTATCTGATATTCTTGCTTCATGTTTTTCTCCCCTGTTTGTATCTCATTTTTGGAGTTTATGTCAACATAATGTCATGCCATTGAAATCAGAGCCAGGACTCATTAGCTCTAGTAATTACCACCTTCCTCTGTCCTGGAAGGGTAAAGCATTGCTCCTTTTCCCACTGTCAGCCAAGCTTTTCATTAGTGCAGCCATCCACAGCATTAAAAAATCCTCTTGGAGCAGTGGGTTGCTCCTATGCCTACCTAGAGTGTAGGGATGGTTTTCTCTCAGCCAGTGGATCTCCTGCCTCTCCTTTCCCTGAATCACAGATATAACAGCCAGTGCAAGCTGCCAATGCACATTTGAAAATCTCCTTTGTTATGATCACTTATGACTTCTTTCCACACCAAATTAGAAAAATATTTTCTCTCAAATACCACTCAGATTTCTGCTGTTTGTTTCTCTTTCTCCAGAGTTTTCACTACTTTTTTCCCCATTTTAGCCCTCTAATTGCCTCCTTCTTTTTTCCTGCTTTCTGGGTATCCCTCCTTGCAGTAAATCATGACTCCACTTGCCCCATGTCTGCATCTTGCCTCTTGCAAGGATCAAAAATAAAATGAACAAGAAGGATGCATGACAGTAGAGAAACTCCACATCCAACGCCCCAGAGAATACCTGTTTGTAGCACCAATGCCATTTGGAGTAAAATAAATGCTGGGGGAGGCAGATCTGGGGACCTTGTTGCTTGTCATGCTGTAGATTTACTAAAAATCATTTCAGGATTGTGATGTACTGTTATTTATCTATTTTTTGCTCATGCTATTAAATATTTCTTTTATTTTGTTTGAAATTTATTTAATACCCTTCTGTTAAAAGGAGTTTTTACTACTCGGTTATGACAAAGGAATAGCATTTGTCTTATTTGCTTGTTGAAATATGGCATAGCTAGGATTGTCTTAAGCGTTAGCAATAGATGGTTAATTTTTCCTTCTCTTCAAGACCACCAGGGACAGGAAGGTGGTTATTTTTGGGGACTGACAATATTCCTTTCTCTTGGCTGCTGGGGTTAAACATCAGAGTTTGGTTTTGATTTCTGACTGTTGTGTATCATTGCTCTTCTCCCACCACTGCTAGCTTTTCTCCTGACAGCCATTACAACTACCTGACAAGATCTATTTCCTGAAACCTCAGTGACCATGCAAATGGGTCTGCAGTAATCTGCAGATGCCATGATGTTTTAAGACCCAATCTGAATTTCTTCACTGGCAGAAGAGTTTCTCTGTATGGTTTGTCATTGTACTGGATCAAGGGTAAGGCCTTCAAGGGCTAATTGGCACTGCAAAACAACTTCTGATGTTTTCTGTTAGGAAAGTGACATTGGAAGACTTATACCATTAACTAGAAGATAAAATGGAAACAAATGACCTAGTTTTTAAGACAATTAGATTCAGTTTTGGCATTTACATATATTTCTGTCATACAAGCAAATGAATTTACATAAAAATAAAGCAATTTGTCAAAGACGATGGCCCCATTTCAGACTGGAGTCCAATAAAGAGAGGCTGGTTATAGCAAAGCATCTATGTCATGTGCTTGGCTAGCCCTGCTCACCTGTATTCTTGGAGGGGAGAGGTCAGACCATGAAGGGAAACAAATGTGCTTGTTTCCATGGATGCCAATTGATCTGTGGTCTGGGTTTGTTTTTCCCCCACATATGCTGGTCTAGGTCTAGACCTTTACTACAGGATTTTCAGGGGCAGAATTTGATAATTTTTGTCCCCAACTGTTTTTCATAAGCATTTTGAACCTTAGAGTGGATGATGCCTCTTAAACAAGCTAATCCTGGAGAGAAGGTGTGTGTTTGTACCTGGCCTCTTCCCTTTGCCTCCCTTCCTCAGGCCACTCTCTCCACCCTAGGGGGATTCAATGTCTGTCAACTACTCCTACAAGCATTGGCCACTGCCACATGCTTTGTGACATAAGAGTTTTAGAAGCTCAAATAATGTACAGGATGTCACAAGAAAAGCAAAATTGGAACCAGAAGTTTCTTGGAGATCCTTGAATTGTGAAGGGGCACCTTTGTTTCATGTGCTGAAATAGTCATGGTGCTTTCAGATCTGGGAGCTTCAAAAAATATGCTGGAATAGTATGGAGCTTAGTCTGGAGCTAACCCGTGCTGAAGTCTGTAACTGCAGGTGAAATTACCCTAGAGACACATCTGATCTGCCATTGCCCTCATCTACTCAATCATATGCCTAACTTTAGGCCAATTAATAACTTTCCTCAATCAGGTTGCTTCTTTGAAGCTAATAGAGCTATTAATATCTCCAGGTTAGGCATAGATATTCAATTATCTTGCTTAATTGGAGTCTGTGAGTCCTTATATTGGCCAAAATCTAGTGAAAAGATTTTATTAACAATGAAGTCAAAATTGCGTATTTCCAATTCCTTTTATTATCTCACCAGGGACCATTTGTATCGTTAATTAATGAAATTTTTATCTCAAATCAGCTTTCACAGTGCTTGAGAATTTTACAAGTATTACAGTGTAAGTATAACAAAAGGAAGACACCAACTCTGTTAGTATAGTTAAACCTTCAGAATTTATAAATTAGATCATAGAGAATTTAATTTAACATTCTCTAAAGAGTTTCACAGGTCTTTTTCTGCAAGATATCTTCTCCCTTATCCATCTATTTTAGCACTGGGGTTTTGCACTTCTTTTCTAGCTAGTTCATTTTTATCCTTAAGGGCACACTGTATTTTAAATTTCTGAATCTTCCTTACACTTTCACTTCCAAAAATAGCAAAAACCTCTTTTGGAGAAATAGCTCTTTTTTTGAATTGTCAGAATGAGTAAAAAATACATCCTGGTGCTGTAAGTTATGTCTGCAGGTGTATAAACCCCTGAACTGGGGAAACAGAAACATTTTTAATGTAGTGAAAGAGGGAAGAGACTGTTAAAATTCCTGGTTTTCCTTCTCAGGCCTGTAAAAGTTATGTGCCTCTGCATATTCAGGGACAGATATTGTGATATGCAGCCAGTCCTGCGCAAAGCTGAAAATGTTACCTAATATTTGGTCTCAACAAGCTGGTATGGAGCATTCTGGTAGTCATCACTTGTATCTGGGAGTCTCTGGGTTTCTGATCAAGTCCATTTCTCTGCCTGTGAAATTACAGATGGGTGAAACAAGCCCTGCTCCCAACACTGCTTCCCTTAAAAAAAATCTATTGTAGTTTAAAGTGCTTGACATACAGATTTTTGCAACTCTGAAGTGCATTTGTAGCATAGGCATACGCCACAAAAAAATTACAGAACAAGAAGAAATCCCTAGCTTCAACTGATTAGGAGTGAGACAAGAGTAGCACATCACATGTCATATTCTTGATTACCTATAAGGTAAAAAAATCCCAGACATTACTGGCTGGCTGAATCTACCCAGAACAGGATTAATTTTTGCTGTACAGCTGAATTGACTGATGATGGAATGGCCAATATTTGATGTGTTGCTGTTTGGTGTTGCTGTCAGCAGCACTGCAATAAAACAAAGCAATAAGGAACAGGGCCAGCACTCAGACAGCTGAGCAACATTTGTAAAGGTAATTCTACAGCTTTACAGTTGCTGAGAGAACATGTGCTTTGATGTGCTAAATTAGCAAGTAAACTCAAAACCAAAGGTTTAAAACATTCAGAATTGCAAAATAGTGTTATTGTATTTAGCACATGGAAATGACCTTCAAAGGAATAACAAGAGCATAATTGGAACTGAACAGCCCTTTTATTGAGTAGAAAATATACCTGATGATGGCATTTTCCCCAGCCTTGTGTCAGACAGACAAATCCAAAGATGGCAGATGCCCTCTGTTATCCCAGGACAAGATGGAAGACCCCAGTGGCTGGCAGGCACAGCACTGTAGCTGGGGAAGGCTGGCATGTCTGCCTGTGTCCTTGGGCAGGAGCTCAGCAGTTTGTGTATGAGGACAGGACACTGCCTGTGGAACTTGCTGGTTATTTAGGTCTAGCCTGGAAGTGGTTTTTGTGAGCTCCAGACTTCCCCTGAGGGAGTCCTGGGGCTCTAAGCATAGCTGGAGGAGTGGAAAGAAGTTTGTGCATGGACACCAAAGTGAATTGTTAGCTTATTGCTGCCTTCTTGACTTGTCTAAAGGGTTTTTAATAGCCAGTTTTTATTGAAACAGTTCAGCAAACTTACTGTTGATACTTTCTGATAAAATGGTTCTCATGGCCCCCTGTTCAGCCAGGCATCATGACATGTTGAAACCTAAATCCTTTAGAAAGGCACCGGTACATTGATGAAGTCAGCAGCCATAAACACTGACTTAATGCTTAAATAACCAAATCCTGTGACATAGTGCTGCACGTTGTAAAATATCTACATGTGAGAAGTGCCCAGACATGGGTATGCAATGCCTCCTTAGATGCCCTTGAGCACCCAAGAGACATGGGAAAAAACATACAGAAGGCATCAGAAAACCTACAGAAGGCATCCATCACCAGCCAGAGGCTCAGGGGTGTATGCTTGAAATACATGTGTGATTTCTCACCTCCTTGCACAATCACAGTGATGTAAACTTAAATGAATTGTAAAGTGGGTTGAAAGTGGATTGTAAAGTGAGAAGTATACTTATGAGAGTATGTTTTTGTTGCTAGTTCTTAATATACTTTTTAGATATATTTGTCAGTGTACATCTCAAAAGGTTTCTAAGCAGCCATCTTATAACCCCCTAAAACCTTCCCCACCTTCCCTTGTGATGCTACAGTGCCATCCCATAAGTTACTAGGGCAATCTGTTACCATTTTCTGGCAATGTTACTCCATTTCATAATAATAAAAAAAAAAATGTCTGCACCTGCCTATTCTACCAAGAAGCCTGTAAAAGATTCGGGAAATTCAAGAGAGGAACAGCATTATTAATTGCTTTGACAAAGACAGCTCTTACAGAGGGAAGAAAGGTCTTGTATTTCTGAAGTATCTTATAAGGACTTTAAATTCTGCTTTATTTCAGGAGAGAAGTGGTAGAGGGAGATTGTCATGTTACTGGTGAAGAGAGGCATTCACACAAGCAAATAAACACTGAATGTCTTCAGTGACTGATTTTAATCAGAAGTGATTCAAGCCAAGAAGGAGACACTGTGACAACATGAATGGCTGTTCATGCTTTCCTAGAGTTCAATATTTCTAGAATTTCAAGTGTTTCAAGCAGCTCCAGGTCAATTACATAAAAACAGACATTGCTTGCAAGATTGTGTAAGGTGCTCCTTATCAAAACAAGGGAAGAGGACAAAGACTCATCACTCAATTGCAACACAAGTCAGCTTTGAAAGGCTTTGCCCTTGTGCTGGAAACCCTGTGTGCTGGCTGCTTTCTTCAAGAACTGTAGAATGGTTTGGATTGGAAAGGGTCTTTAAAGATCATCTAGTCCAGGAAAACCAAGATCATCTAGTCTAGAGAAGTGATGATTCCACCTTGCTCTTTGTTTGGTAGAGCTCCTGCTGTTGACAGCAGATGTGCTGTGATCAGCTTGGGCAAGTCCTTGACTAGGGAAGTCTGAACTTCTGAACCCAGTGCTGGTGATTCACCATCATTTGGCAGCCAGAACCATAATTTGAGTAGAAATAAAAAAACCCAGTGCTCAGCAAAGGTTGTTTAAACAGTAATTGGAATATCAAATAAATACGGTGAAATATTTTCTTGCTAAAATGCTACTTGCAGTAATTGCATATTTTATCTTTAACAGTTAGTTGTGTTTGTTATCTGTCTGATTTTTTATTCAGACATAAACTGTAGCAGGTTATTTAAAACTGCATTTATTATTTTTCCTATGCAGGTTGCATAAATGAGTGTCAATAGGAGCACTGTGGAAATGAATAAATTTGTAATTACAATAGCATTAAACATATTTTGCTAGTGTCTGAATGGAAAACATTTCATATGAAAAATTAATTCCACCCACTTGAAAGAGGAAATCAAAGTTGTGCTTTAGTCTCTGCTCTTTAAAAATAGCTGACAGGCAGCTTTTTATTTTCTTTTTTTTTTTTTTTAATATTTTCATTTTCTGTGGAAATGAAAGTTAATGTCATTTTTTTAAAATAGAATTATTTAAAGAAACAAGAATAAAGTCTGTGTTTGAAAAATTTAATAGCAAACTTCTGGAAAATTTAGCTTGAACTACAAAGCACTAGTAAATAAATGTAGCTGGGGAACAGACCTGAGAAGAATTTCTGAAACAAACAAGGGCAAATGAAGTACCCATAGGTATTTTGTGCTGTTGGCCAAGCCTAGTCAACAAATCTGGACCTCATATCATGCAAACATAGGATATTTTACTCCTATGTTTGTTAGAAACCCACCCCTGTGTAATTTTTTTCAGAGCTCTTCTATTCATTGGTGGCTGACAGCCCTATCCTCTTCAGAGGAAACAAAAAATGTTTGAAGATGGAATCTAGCTCAAAAAAACAAAAGGAGATTAATTATACCATTAAATTAAATAACTTTACGAATGAAAATATCTTTAGGATTTAGTTGTCCAAGGTGTGTGAAGATGGAGTCTGACTCAGCAGAAATGAAGGAAAACTGATTTTTTCCCCCTGAGATTCCCAACTGAAAACAAAGATCTTTTGAGGGCCAAATCTCAAAGTTGGTTTTTGATGTCACTGACAAAATTGCAGGTAGAGAGTGACACAAGAGGCATATCAGAAATGAGAAGCTACTGTTCAGCTGAGGACACTGAAACTTTAGAGTTCATGAATGTCTTTTCAATGTAAATGCTATTTGAATAAAATAAATAAATAAAATAAAATAAATAAAATGCTATTTGAAGCATTCCCTCTGAAGAGTAGAAGAGAACTAGATTGTCCTTTTTGCAGGAGTTTGCAAAATGCTAAAATTTATTTTTAACTAAAACTGTCAGTCTCCCACAAAAATAGCTAAGAAATATTTGGAAATTTTCTTGTGTGTTTCAGTTCAATGGTAACACTAAAATGATTTGAGTAACTTTTGCTTTTTAATACCATGACATTGCAAAACCAGACCTCATTTCAAGTTGAAAATTCAAACCTGGTGGTTTGAAAAGTATTGAAAAAACTTGATTGGCAGAATGTCCTCAGAGGACTGACTTTCTTTTTCTCCTTTTTGCCAAATGAAATGTCACTGCAAGTGATATGTGCCTACATAAAGGTTCTGGTTTGTCAAAACATATTTTTCCCATGTAAAACTTTTGTAGCAAAATGTTTGACTGGTACCAGTCCTCAAGACTTGTTGATCAGCAAAACTTTAGGTGCTTGCATCTCATATAACCACTGCATAATGCATTATTTAAAGAAGATCAGATTTTGCAATTTTATAAGACTGACAGAACGAACTGCAGAGATAAAAGGCTTGGCCTGAAAATCCTAGTAATATTAACACACCCTGTACCAGTAATGTCCTTCCTTTGCTGTTTCAGATGCATTCTGGCTAGACAGAAATTATGGCTCTATTGCTAAAATTTCTCACATTACTGTACAGGCTAATATTTAAAAAATGAGCATATGCAACTTCATTTTTGCCCACATGAATTTACATGGAAATTTGGGGGTTTTTTTCTGCCTTAGCTGTGTTTTGACAGCTGTGTACCAAGGTTCATCTGCAGCAGTCCGTGTCCAGATTACTGCTGAAAGCAGCAGGCCCTTTGTGCGTGTGTGAACCCAAGGAAAGTTACTGGAAAACAATAGGAATGGAAAGAAAGAAGGTACTTACACGATGCCCATTTGAGGTGAAGTTCTCCAGTATGCACTTGTCCTTGCCCAAATATTGATCCCTATTCCCTAGTTAGTTGGTGGCCTCGGGTAAAGTATATAGAACGAAGAATAGAAAGGCTGACACACAAACCGTGTTCCAAGTGTGAGGTTTGTGAAAGGCATCAGGAAAAGGCTGCATGACTCCAGATGGGAAGAGACAAACAGAACAGGTTATGTGGAGCAAGCTGATGCTCACAGTTTCTCAGTGGAGTCCAGAGAGCAGGTGAAGGACATTGCATAGGTCATTAAGAAGGAGAAAAAGGATGGTCTAATGAATCACAGAATCACTAAAATTGGAAAAGACCTCTAAGATCTAAGATGTCCATTAAGCTGGCGCTACCAAGCTCACCACTAAACCTTGTCACTAAGCACCAAATCTAAATAAAGCAGTTTAAAGGCCCATACAGACACTAATTTGGTGATATGTGCCAGCTAATATGAATTGGTCAAGAACAAGTCATGTTAAAACATTTATATGGCTGATTAAGGGGAATTAAAAGGTGTGATATCTTTACCTGAGCATGACTTTTGGCACTGTCATGCATAAGCAACTTAGGGAATGATCTAGATTAAATAATGATGGGTGGGGTGAATGATTGCATTAAATTTGCTCCAAAAACTGTTAAGAATAATTCCATCTTAAATCAGCAGTGCATTTTAAGTTGAGTCTTGTGGAGGTCTGTCTGTTTTACCCAGTATAGACATTAATGTCTCGGAAGATGGAATCTGACAAATGCTTGTAATCTCCTTAAAATAAACAAATTTGATAAGAATTGGAAGTACTTTGATGGGCCAGATTTTAATTTAAAATAATCTAGATATTTTGGAGATGTGATCCAAAATTAACAAGAGGTAGTTCAACCAAGGCAAGAGCAAAGAACTGTGGTTAAGGAAGAAAAAAGTAAAAGACAGCTATCCAATGAGAAATATCTGCCAGTGCAGCTGTACTGTGAAAAATCATTTGAGAGTTGGAGCGGAATACAAGCTGGATCCTTTCTGGGAATATATTACAAAATGTGTAATGTGCAAAGCACATGGAAATAAATGTATGTCTCTCCACTGTGCTGGTGAGACCTCAATTGGAGTACTGGTACTGATCTGTGAAGTAGAATGAGAATGCGTAGGAAACATACAGAAAATAGTAGTGAGAATGCTAAAAACTTTGGGTTGTATAAGAGAACTCTGAACAAATTATCCTTTTTCCAGAAAAGAATGTTAGGACCAGAAATTGCAACTTTTTCCAACATTTAAACTGATGAATACAACACAGAGTGGCGATCATTATTCTCTGTAACTGGGTTGTAGGGTAGGAACTAACCACATTAATCAACAAAAATAACATAGAGATGTGAACTGGAAAAGGTCACTTTGGGAATTTGTTGGATTACTGTCTTAGGACAGTATTACAGATGGTTCTATTAGAGAGGTTTTCCTGGTGGTTACTTATAGCTGTGAGGGACCAGAGGAAGGTGTTGAGTAAATTGACTTAGAGAGTGCCACACAGCCCTGAATTTGTTGATTAATATTACCTCTTGGGAATTCTTTCTACAGAAGCAGATTTGCAAAGATATGTTTACTGCCTTATCACACACAGACTGAGAAGGAGAAGGTACCTGCAGGTGAAGACCTTGGTACACAATGTCTCAATACACAGCTGCTTGTATGCACAAAGACATCAGTGTGCACTTTTCTTGTCTGCCTGTCTCTAAATGGGCACAGTGTCTATGAGAGCAACTGCTTTGACTGTGAAAATTCTACATTTTTAATGGGACAGATACTAATCTTCACAATTATCCTTAGCTAAAGATAATTGGGAATGGAATAAAAATCTCCATCAGCAAACTGGCATTGTCAGTTGCTAGCTGGAGAAGTACATGCTTTGTCTAGTATATTATCCTGTGCTGAACTGCTTCATCTTCTGCATTTTGAAAATGTAGAGCATTTTTAATTTCCTTTGACAATTCTTGGGGATGCCCCAGATCATCAGGTTTAAAAATAATCAGGTTTAAAAACAATCACATTTAAAAAGTAATAATTCAGAGGTAATATTGGCAGAGAGTTGGTTTCCAAGTTGTCAAGGCCTGAGGCTAGAATTTGATGACAAAAACTTACTTGAAGTTGAAGTCCCTCCTTGCATGAAGCCTCATGCAATCGTCTTCTCTGCTGCCTGGGAGTAGGACAAACTCTTGCCCAAAATAACACCAGAAATTGGGCTCATTAACCTTGGGATCAAGCCAAAGTTCAGTACTCTTGGGTATAACTGTCGTGCACATTGGTTCAGTGATGCCTTGTGAATGTTGTTGTTGGGCAGCAGAGCAAATCAATTTTGAGGCAGAAGAATTGCAAGCTCATAAATCTAAGATGTCCTAATAATGCAGTCTTCAATGAAAAGTGAATAGAAGTGAGTTCCTTTTCTTTGAGGTTGACTGTGAATAGCCATAAAATATCTTAGCTTGTGTCCTGGATTTATGAACAGAGAATATGAACTTGTTCTGCTCCAATTTATCCCATATTTCATTTGAGAGCAGGAGATTTAGCCAGATAAATCAATGGGTAGTTCCTCTGATCCTTGTTATCTTACAGGTCTTTCTACAGTTCCAAGAAAGTTGTTGCAACTGTTGTAACAACTAGTACTACAGTTGCAATCCTATGATCTGTTGCTGAAAACTTTTGTGTCCTTTCCAGCTATACAGGACCAAGTCTGAGCAGTTGAATGTTTTCTTTGTATATTTTAATCAACAAGACATTCCTAAAGCAAAAGTTTGTGCAAATTTTATGCGTGAAGGTCTCTTCAAATAAAGTAATTTTCAGGGTAGACCTGTATGTTTTCACATTGGCTGTAGGTCTCTCTCCAGACCAATAAACTAAGACCAGTTTAATGTTCAGTGGTTAAAGTAGAAATGCTCCCTTTGTCATCAGGGAGACTTTGAATTGGGTCCTTGACAGGGTATTTTAAAATATAGAAAATTATCACTTGGTTATTTACATTCTACTGTATCGTAAATCAGTTTGATGGACAAGCTGCTGTGGGAATATGTATTACAGAAATATTGAATACAAGTGAGGTCAGAGGCTACAGCAAAACAAAATAAGACCTGAAGGCATACTGGGAAAAAGAGATTGCTTCTTGCTTTAATGTAAAATTTTGTGGATTTCTGTTGAACAGTGACAGTTATGTGCTATTTCCAACATTTAGAACAGGTAAAGAATGTATTTGTAACTGAACTTTGGTAAATTCTTTGTTTCAACTGTCAAAATTGCCATCAGATAAAAATATTTTTCCAAGGAGCAACTTAAAAATTGTCTGTACTGTCTGTACTCCTTGATACTTATCAGACAAATATTTTCAATGCAAAATTGTCTTCAGATTGTAAAGACACACAAGTTTACTATAACACAGGTTCTGCTGAATGAAAAATCCAGTGATCCCCTAGGAAGTCATATAATCTTTGCAGCAGGCTCTGTGAGACAGTCTTACAGTTCTTACTTGCACTTCCACTAAGGGCAAAGACATTTCTTAAAAATGAGAAGATCCCACCCTAGAAAACTCTTCTGCATGTTCAGAAACAGATCCATACTGAGGATAGTACTGATGTGCACTTGGAGTAAGGTGTCTTGGCAACACCTGCTTCAAGGTAACATGAGGTTAAGCTTGATGTTAGGGAAGTGACATAAGAATATTTTCAATATATATATGTTTTGATGTGGGACTTCTGGAATTACTTCAGGATTTGATTTCATGTGAAGCCTGTCATTTCAGGAGAGCTGAGAAGAGCCTCTCCCCTTCTTAAACACATTTGCAAACACAGAGGGCCACGCTAATCCCACTGAGCTTAATGTACTTTACAGAGGAAGAATGCAGGAGGCTGGTTCTGTGTGGCGGCATCCATTCAAAGGTGGCATCCTCTCTTCAGAGGGTCTAATTTTCACCAGTCTGGATGGTACAGTCTCACACTTTGTAGCTGAAGTCAAATGAAATCTAGTGAACTAATCAACCCCAATGCTGGTGTAAAGGATAGAACAAC